ATCAGTGGTCTTGAGTAGCAGAATTTGTCCTCGGAAGGCCCATTGGCATGAATTCGATGAAGAGTGAATAATTCTTTATCAATTATGCAACTTCAATTCAACGACTGATTCGGCAGAGGTAAGATTTCCAAGTCCCTGGGCAGGGAATCGACCGAGTACGAAAGAGGGGTAGATGGTGGACCGAGCTGTATGTGCTCCACCTGAGGATGGAGATCCTAGAAAAGGCCTTGACGAGAGCAGCATCAACCCACCTGATAATACCATGGTACCTGTCATATTAGAAGAAGGTATACCCCCCTAACCTCCCTCTAATTTGAATGGTTTTCAGATTTCTCCATACCACCATTATCCCACCAATACCACTGGTTTCTACCACCAATTTTTTGGTTTAGTTGGGGGAAATTTTTGCATCTGGAGCTGTTGTAAGTGTCCTTAGAATGCATCTAATGGGGTGTTCAAAAAAGTCAGTAACAATGTCTAATGGTCAGAGGTACCACTGTACCACCAATAGCTCTCGGAGAGTCAGTGATTTTTGTGACCCTGCTTGATTACCATGCATACCACGAAGCAGTTTCCAATGGGTCAGCAAAGTTTGTGATCTCTGTGCATTACCATCTTTACCACCAGTAAACTTCCGGCATTCAGTGATTTTTGTGACCCTTGGGAGTGTACCACCAGTGCCACCACTATGTTTATGGGGATCAGAAAACTTTGTGGTTCCCTGCAGTTACCATAATTACCACTGTTAGCTCAACCTGTACAGCTTGGTGGAGTTTACCCTTTGCCCTTACCACCATTACCACGGATACTCCACCAAAATTATTGCCTATGGACCATTTCTCTAATTACCACCAAGAGCCCGGGGCAAGTGACTTGACAAATTATTGAACCCAGAATATCCACTATTACCACCTGCTCAATAATTAACCCTCCATGTCTACTCCCACTGACTGAGTGGAGTCTGATGCCACAGATAGGACAGTTTCAAGCATCTCTGCCAGCTCCTCATTGTCTGTGTCTTCCATGATATAGTCCCATGCATCCTCTTCCTTCTCTCCCTTAGCCTTGCTATAAGCTCATTCAGTTCCACAGCCTCCTCCTCATCACCCTGGCTTTCCTCCTCCCCAGTCAGATTCTCCATGCCATTAAAGTCACACCCTAGTGGAGGCTGGAGCTGCTCTCCTGGGACCAGCATCCCTATGAATTTTGCCTGTAACCTTTGCTCCATCGCAACGAAGACTTAGTACATTGTATAGCAGCTTACAACAATCCTTAATGGGTATACAATTGATTTGAACTATTTAGTCAATTATCTGTCTTTGGTGTAGCACTAATGGATGTGCCCAGTCCCTGCTTACATGAATTAAAATACAGATAATGTGCTGCTCACAATGGAGCAGTAACTGGATTACTAGCTGGTTGACAATTTAGCAATTAACTCTAGGCCACATAATGCCAAAGGCAAACACTGAGCAATTACACCAGGGACTGCAGGTGGGTTTCTGAGGTCTTAGCACACACTGAGATGGATCAAGAGTGCTTGAAATTGCATATATATGGAACACCTGTGGCAGGCTATAAGCTCATCACCCTAAATCTCACCAATCTGTCATTCACAGGATGCTGTCAAGGAAGGCTTAATCACCCCTATGGCCTGGAGGATTCCAAAGTACCATGGTCAACACTCCACCATGGTCAGGAAATGAGACATCTACCGCAATTACCATCTAAAGATTGCACTCATTAAGGATGTTACCACAGCTACACACTGTCCACCAGCTACTCTCCTAATAAATTGATCTTCCTTCCTCACAGTAGATGGGATAAGTTTATTCAATACACTACTTGGAGGTCATGCCATACTACCGAGTAGAGGGAGTCAGATGCCAAGAATCATTACAAAGATTGAATGACTCAGCCACAACTAACACCTCTTGGCATTGAGATAGCTTATTCAATGGTCAGTAGCCCTGCATGTCCATGTGAACTCATTCATTGGTAAATGTGTGTTACACATCATAAAATATCTATGTTTCTGAGGGAGGTTATTGATTCAAGATCAATGTCCGGGTGTACGCCAAAACATGCTGCTTTCAGCATACATATTCATTACTGTTAATCATAGATGTCATAGCTCGGTCTGTTTGAAGCAGATTTAGACTACTGGATAGTATCCTGTTGAGTAAGCATCAGAGAGAAAAAATCTGGGATCATAGTTGAGCACAGAACATTCCCTTGGTTTATACATATATGGGCACTCAGCTAAAGCATAGTTCAGAGTCACAACAGAAAATGTTTTATAGCATTTTATGACTTCATTCTGAGCTCCCAAATTTGAAATATGTTGTGTCTGTACACTCTACAGATATTTAAAAAAATCCATGGGACATACACCTTACATGTGTACCAAGATGAATTATTTTGGCGATAAAACAAGTGAGGTTTGTTATTATGGACCGGGCCTGGCCCGCTTGCCGATGCATGGTAATGGTGGTATTTGAAGATTTTCGGCCAGAAAATTGATCAAAACTCGTGGTAAGTGTGGTAATTTATTCCCACAGCCTAGAGGTGAGGGTTCGCGATTACAGACTGGCATGGTAATGGTGGCAATTTGGCCGGATAATCTGTGGTAAGTGTGGTAATTTATTCCCACAGGCTACAGGTGAGGGTTTGCGATTACGGACTGGTATGGTAATGGTGGCACTTTGGCCGGGTAAGTGTGGTAATTTGTTCCCACAGCCTAAAAGAGAGGGTTTGTGATTATTTTGGCGATAAAACAAGTGAGGTTTGTTATTATGGACTGGGCCCGGCCCGCTTGCCGATGCATGGTAATGGTGGTATTTGGATTTTCGGCCAGAAAATTGATCAAAACTCATGGTAAATGTGGTAATTTATTCCCACAGCCTACACGTGAGGGTTCATAATTACGGTCCAGGCCCACCTGGCTATCACAATGTGTGGTAATGGTGGTATTTGGGAATTACCAAGTATCCCTGTCCATAAAGGGCATCCAATTTGTCATAACAAACTGACTGTTTGAGAGTCCATCCTCTGCGGCACCTATGTGATTCAATTGTAATTTTCACTGTATCCCAAAACAGCGCCTGGAGTAGAGAACCTATGAAACCCAGATGATGGATATATTGATATCCAGAGTGATTTCTAAGTCATGTTGTGTCACAACTGTGAGAGATCATTGAGACACCCAAATATCTCAGAATGGATGTTGGAACGAAGGTCCCCATAATTGAGCTCTGTATGTCAGTGGAGATAACCAACCGGCTCTTGATTCAATGCTACATTGGTGGTAGTGATGGAACTGCAGTCTGCTAAGATCCAACCAATTAAGATGTGCATGGTAATGGTAGAAATTCCAGAAATTTGAATCTGCTAAGGCACCTTTCCTGAGGTATTGGGTGTAAAGAAATGGTGCAAGAATTTCATGGTAATGGTGGAAAATTGTAAATGCGGAATTTGCTAAGTCACCCCAGGCAAGTGATTGATTGGTGGTAAGGATGGCAGCCAGGAGCAGTCACAAAAATTCCTTACCCCTGTAAACTGACCAGTGGCACTGGTGGTACACTCCCGAGGGTCACAAAAATCACTGAATGCCGGAAGTTTACTGGTGGTAAAGATGGTAATGCACAGAGATCACAAACTTTGCTGACCCATTGGAAACTGCTTCGTGGTATGCATGGTAATCAAGCAGGGTCACAAAAATCACTGACTCTCCGAGAGCTATTGGTGGTACAGTGGTACCTCTGACCATTAGACATTGTTACTGACTTTTTTGAACACCCCATTAGATGCATTCTAAGGACACTTACAACAGCTCCAGATGCAAAAATTTCCCCCAACTAAACCAAAAAATTGGTGGTAGAAACCAGTGGTATTGGTGGGATAATGGTGGTATGGAGAAATCTGAAAACCATTCAAATTAGAGGGAGGTTAGGGGGGTATACCTCCTTCTAATATGACAGGTACCATGGTATTATCAGGTGCATCAACCAGTACTACTTGACCCTGCAAGTCAAGCCTGCTGCTTTTAGCACGCCGCCCGGATGTCGTGGAGACACAAAGCTGCAGGGATACGAAGACGTAGACAGATGGATCGCAGGTTCACTTTGTAAATAATTAAATTCAAAATTCAAGATGTAAAGACGCGAAACTTGCGCGAAACAAGAAATACAAGCAATACGAGAGACAGAACGCACAGATGACAATTCGAGCCTAGGAAGATTGGACATCTGCGTTCGACGCGCTTGATATAGGAGGCAGAGCTTGGGCAGCCCGAGGGGGCAGAACACAAGAGATATTGCAACGTGGAGTAGAGTCCGTGTGCGACGCAATCGGTAAGGAGTTCGTACTCCTGAATGAGGCTTGATGAGGGCAGCTTGAGTCTACGGAGTCTCGGAAGTGGCTACTAATTTTTAGTGCGCCGCCTGGACATATGTAGCGTGGACGAAAAGAGGGAGGGCCAGCGTGCGCATGACTCGCGCAGATCCTGGACCACGGGAAAGGTAATTCGGGCTGAGTCTGCGGAGTGCTTCGCTTCACACCTGAACTCAGGAGCACAATCGAAGCTCGATAAGGGGCAGCGCGTCGCCTCCAAACTTAGACTGCTGTCTGCGAGCGTGAGGGCGCAGAACTCGCACGATGCTGCGGAAATCAGCAGACGGCAGTCCGACTCGGGCAGCCGGGGCGAAGTCTCGTGAGGACTCGTGCTGATGTCTTCAGGAAAGAGCCATAGCCAGATACGCCGCCGCAGACAGACCATGAAAGCGAGAGGTTGAGGCGGAAAAAGCAAGAGAGAGAGTCGGGCGTTACCGGATCCGGGTGACTCCGAAGCACGTGCCTCCTCGTTGAAGTTCAAAAAAAAAAACCGTTGCTTGCTGTTAAGTATATCAATTGAGTGAAATGTATGTGAGAAAAAGAAAGTAGACCTAGGGAATGGAAGGCTACACGTCCTGTGGAGGAAGAAAAAAAACACTCAACTCGAATGGCCTGGCCTTGAACCGAACAAGAATCCCATGCTGAAACCTCTTCCCAGTGCCACGGAAAGCAGGCGTGTTACCATTACACCACCAGGCTGTTCCCATCTTCCTACTCACCGAGAATATATCCATGACTTACGCGAACAACATAAAGTGGAAAAAAAAATTGTCGTATAAACACGACACGGCCTGACCTTGAATCGAACAAGGATCTCTCTGCGAGATTCATTGCATGCTACGGGACATAGTCGAGTGTGTTGCCGTTACACTACCAGGCCATTCTCAAAATCTCCCTCAGACTTAACTATCTCTATTACTTCGGTGATCTCTGAACAAGCCAGAGAAAAAGCACATTGCAATTTATGGCCTAGCCTTGAATCGAACAAGGATCCCCCACCGGATGGTTATGCTAGGTGAAGTTTAGTTGACACAACCCGACTCGGAAGCTTGGGTTGAGGAACAGTATTTTTTATTTATGTCAAAAACGTACAAGCACTAAAGAGAGAGAGATACGGCCTCCATCTTTACTTTCCTCCTCTCAATCATCAAACTCCCAAGACTTGCAATAATGCCACATGAGATGCCGATCAGGAAAACTCTTTCGACAGCGGCGACATATGCCTCAACCACCTGGGATCGCTCAGGTGATGGGATGGCAAATATAGCCTTGACGCTCGACAGGACTTCCTCGAGCAAGGCCGGTGAAAGATCTTGCGCTCTGAGGTGAGAGCGCAACTGCCCTTGAAAGACAGCTCCCGTGATACTGTGAAAATGCCATTGTACGCCGCCTCGAACTCGACGAATGCACTTACGCCAGTCCGGCAGAACTGCCGAGGAGTTGAAGAAAGGTGACCAGCGATGTTGATTGGGGTACCAGGTGCTGATCGTGATCTGCAAACTCGCCTTGAGCGACAACAATCTGGAAGGTAGCGGTCAGTTATGATGAGTGGGAATGATGGTACGAAACAACTCACGGGCAGCTGGATACACGAACCCAAGCCTACTCCCAGGAGGACCTGGAATCCGATGATCGTGGCAGAACTTGTGGTGGCAGTGACCGTAAACAGCAGCCCGAATGCAGCAGCTGCAATTAAAGGGCAAGTGACAAGGAAGGGCCACGCATATCCAGTTGTCTGTAGTGATGTTCGAAATACCAAAAGACCAAAATCCAATTTGCTTACTGCAGTGACCGCCCCCGAGATGAATGAAACTAGGCCGGGAGGACGGAATGTGAATGCATAAGTGTGGTATATCAGGATGGATAGTTACAAAAGACCCCAAGGCTAAGGAGTATATCAGCGCTGCATCGGCCGAAACATGTGACAGCTACGCACACCATGAATGGAAGTATATCTATCCCCGAACGGGTGGCAGAGTGCCCACGGACTTGATATAGAAGGGGCTAACACCATTATCGTGAATTCACGGTGCACGATGTGATATAAGAACGAGTACCAAGTAATACTGTTGCGAGATTCCATATCAGCTAGATGTGTTCTGCGAATAAGGAAAACACTGACGTTCACGGTGACGAAACAGACGGAGACAAAGAACTGCGCGCGGTGGTAAGATTGCAGACCTAGACAATCGATAAGACCGACCACTTGCCATCGTAATCGCTGCTCCACAGATATTCCGACGCATAAGGATATGCACAGGAAGTATGGCCTCGGGCCCATACCAAGTCTCCCAAGCAAGAAATGCAATCAGAGCTGCCGCGAACTGGGAGCAATTAAGAAAGTGCGACAAGTTCGGAAACAGATTGGCCTCACCAACGCCAGAAGAGCAATTACAGTCGGGTCACTCCACGGTTTTTCGTTCCCGCCCCACTGTACAGCTATGAGGAGCATAACAACCATCGCAAAACTCAAAAAAGCTCCAATCCAATCAAGGTACAGCCATTTCTTGAGCGTCGACTGCGATTTCTGGACGGTGGACAGCCGAGGAAGAGCGAAAATGACAGTGACTATGGCAATGGCTCCAATCTAAATGAAATAAACCGGTGTTAACGGACCAATGTAAACGGCAGCTCACAGGAAGGTTGACATCTGGGCCGAGTGTTGAGTTAGTCTTGTCATGGTCAAGAAATAGTATATGCGGACGAACAGAAACACCAGCTGGATTAGAGAGGGTAGAATCAGCGAGACGCAATATGTTTCAACGAAGGGAAACATCTACCGCCAAGAGACATGATCTGTATTGGGAGCGATGTCGAAAGATGAAAGACAAACCAGAAAATTAAACAGCACCTGAGAAAGCTCCTCCCATTAACGGTCCCACGACGGAGGCCAGAGCATAGACCGCGCCAATCATACCCATGAAAATGGGCCTTTGTTTCATCGTAGTTATCTAAAATCCATCTAGGAAAATAATTCAGAGAGACAAAGAGAACAACGTACCCTCGCAATTATCGTCATGATTGACACCCATAGACCTGTACCGCCAAGACCGGCTACGGCTCGGCCAACGATCAGGACATTCACGGAAGGAGAAAGCGCGCATAAGAGGCTCCCAATTTCAAAGGCGAATATCGAAACTAGGAAGACCGTCTTGGGAGGAGCAATCACTAGAAGTTTGCCGAAGAAAAGAACGAGTCCAGCCTTTCAAGATTGTCAGTTGTGATATGCACCACTCCAATATGCGCGGTACCTCAGGAAGGAAATATGCGCTTGCGATCCATGACAGGTCGGACACTGCTTGAAAGTGGGAAGCGATGGTCGGCAAGGCAGTAGAAAGGATGGTCTGGTCAAGGGCAACTAGAAAGAAGGCGACGTAGAGCGCGCTTCAATATACTGAGTCAGTCCAAGCATTAGAAAGAGTGATATATGCTCTACATAGAGATGAGGACGAGCTGTCGCCCCGATACCAAGGTGTCTTGAGCAAGCTGGGCGTCTTCTGACGAGGCTTTAGGTTCGACGAAAGTCTTATTGCCGTTGGCTGGTGAGTCGCGTATGGCGTCCATGTCCCCTACTACAGCGAGCGAGAGGATGCAGAGACTGTGGGTTGGAAAAGAGTCTCGAGGGGGCGTCGGAGGTATTCTCTTCGTTGAAAATTGCATCTATCATCACAGCGCGAGGAGCATAGATCAGCGGCGCTGAACAATGCTTCTCCCGCTCAAATTAACAGGGTGTCAGTGGTCTCTGGATTAAATCTTGATCTTCCCGTCGGTCCCCTGGATTCCTCTCGAGAACATTCACTCACGTTCAAGATCCTGCGGCAACAGGGGCATCGCCGGGAAAATTTCGGGAGAACTAGAGATTCCGATGTCGCGGGTAGGCATTGGGGAAGCTGTGAACACAGCTCAATATAGCATAGAAACAAGATATCTGAGCACGAACGAGATTGGAATTTGGCCTTGTGGCGAAGATCATTCAACCAGATGGGGTGGCGGCGCTCGCGAGCTTTTGACCCGTAATTGCCGCGCCACAGCGATAGCATCCAGGTAGAATTCGGCTGCATTGCAGAGAAAGGCCGCGCTCGCCTTTGGCGGTTCCATTCGAGCCCGAGCTTGGGTTGCTGGGAAGAAGGCAGAAGCTGTTGTGATTCCAACCCCATGTTATCGGTAGAGATGCGAACGTCTCTGAGCGTGTCCCACATCGGCGATCATGGGCTGGGTGGTATCCATCGACCAGGTGGTGGCGTTTACGACACGAAGTCCCTACCCATAGCCCCTGGAATCAGATATGGTTCGACAGAATCCCGGTGGATCGCAGACGGCAGATGTCTGGGCAGATGTCGATACTGAATATGAGGGAATCCAAGCCAAGTGCCGTATGATCGTTTCGAGCTGCGAACTGAGCACGGGTGGACTTGCAAGTTGGATCACGGACGCAGCAGAGATGCCGAAGGTCTATATTGGTGCATGGAAGAGCCGGAAACTCGGATACTAGACGGCAACTGAAGCTAACTGAAGCATGCGAGCGCAAGCGGTGCAAGAACACCGCTTGCGGAGTCTTGAATGTCATTGCGCTTTAGCAGAGAGTCGCAGCCAGGGGCGAGAGACCGGATATACTTGAGCCACAAGAGGAGACAGCAGGAGACAGCGATTAGGAGATGCGAGATGAGCGCCCCAGACACACTGGACAAAGCAAAATCTTGACATAGGTCAAGAGGCCTCCCAAAAGATGGAGCGATTTTTGCCATTGGTCCGGAAAATGCCGGACCAATGGCAAAAATCCCTCGATATCTCGGGAAGCCTTTCAGCATATGTCAAGATATTCCCGCTACCTTTAGGTACGGGTCTTATACATTTGCACCAATGCACATAAGCAAGAATTTGGACACTTCGAGAATTGAAGCGCGCGGGCCGCGTCCTGCCTGCCAAATATGGCCATTTCCACCTGGCATCCCTCGCACAAATTCTGCAAGCCCAGGCTTTGGTCTGATTGCCTGGATCTTTAGGAATAATTCATAGCTCATATGGCCATCTATCGTACCAGATATTTTTTCAGCCAGAATCTCCCCAGACGATCGCAAAATGGACGAAAAGGAAAGTCACTGATGGTGTGATAAAGGATTGATTTGCCCAAAAATACGGTGTTTGGGAGCCTCAGTGAGCCTCCTCACTCAAAATTAATTCAGGGAATGCAGAAGATATACATGATTAGGAAGGTCAAGGGGTTTGACCCCAGGATGGATATATGTGCCGCAAAAAATTAATGATCCATTGATAGGTCATGATCCAAGGAGCGGCACTATACTGTAGCGCCTGATTTTTCAGGATTGCAGAGCCATCACATTTTTGCTATATAAGGTATTCTGCTTGGTCATTATTGGTGTGTAAGCGGGCGCGTTGCCGTGAGATGTTTCCAGAAGTTTCGATGTCGGACTGTTTCAACGTCCACGGACCACTCGACGTCCAGCCTCTTTCTCTTCGTCCACCATGCCCCCTTCCGCTACCCTCTGCAATGTGCTGCTATCTACCACTTTCGGCCGTGATTTTGAAAGACTCTCTTGACTGGCCCAAAACCAGCAACACAAGCGGACAGACTTAGAATGCTTCTGCAGACGTTGATCTCGTTATACCAAACGCTCCAAAAAAAAAAAAAAAAAAAAAAACTCTTCTCTGGACTGGGTTCTGGCATCTGGTCTCCGTCCTCTCAATTGTGTGTCTGGTCCCTATCTGGTCCCCTCCTCAATTTACCATATCACTGTCTGTTCCCTACATGCGGAGTTGTTTCATGTGTCTTCCCTCCCATTCGACTTGATCTTGGGGCATAAGTGGCTCCTAATTTGCTGTGAAGCACCCCCAACTTGTTTTTTCTCTCTCTTATCCGGT